TATTTTCATCATTCATCTACATCATTTTCTTATTGTTGGACTTTTCTGATTATTTTGTCTTTGTTTTCATAGTATCCTTCTTTTATTTTCTTTTATTAATTCTCTAATTTTTCTTCTTCCTTATATTTTTTTCTCATTGTTTTCGTCGTCTTCTTCTTTTTCTTCCCGACTAATATTATTTCATTGCGCGAATAGTATGAGAAATAGTTTCTAATATTTATAACAGCCTAAAAACAAGTAAAAGGATTAGAGATCTATCATAGTAATTAAAATTTGTTTCATAATTATTTTTTACTTTAGATGTGTTGGAAAGTATAGCGATTATGGGTTCATGCACATATATAGCTTTTATGTAATGTTTCAATAATCCCACGAATGATTTTATACCTTCTAAAAACTACATCCGAGTTTATATTTGGTAGACACCAAACAATGCTTAGTAAGTCTCTGGTTATAAAGTAGTAAATCATGTAATAAAAACACTTATGATTACTACTTTTATATTTGGTATCCATCATGCATTTGTGTTTAGAAATTGACTAAAAATTAATAAATGCCAGTTTTTCTTTTAGCATGTTATTGGTTTTTATTTTAAAACAAAACATATTAGAATAAGTAAGCATTTTTAAAAATTACACTTTTCATTCAATGTTAAGAGGATACTTTAATTTCTTTTAAATTTAAATATTTTAAATATATTCCTTATTCGGTTAAATTTATGTATATATATGCAAGAGATCTATGGTGCCAAATATAAACATAGTGCAGTTAGAGATTATTTTGTAAAATATTTGTATGTTTTACATTTTTTATTGGGACAATTACAAAAATGCCACTTTTGTATGCATAGTTGCAAAAATGCCACTTAGGGGTGTCCATTTACAAAAATATCACTAATTATAGATTTATAAAACATATATCTTAAAATTCTAAACCCTAAAAAATTTTTTGACACCTAAAATCTCCTAAACACTCAAAACTAAACCCTAATAGAACATAATTAACCCAAACATAAATAATATAAAGAAAAAATAATTTTGAAAAAGTGGCATTTTTGTAAAGATTTCAAAAATGTGGCATTTTTGTAAAGTGCCACTTGAAAACTGGTATTTTTTGAAATTTCTCTTTTTTATTAATTTGCTCAATTCTCTTACTTTTTCAGATCATTGTATATTTTTCAACTATATTAAATATTTAATAAAAATATTTTCGTAATATAATAATATTTTAAATAAAAATGGCTTATATTCATATCTTGGCTAATATAATTATGGTTTAATATAGTGACGTTCCTTTTATAATTTTGTGAAATATAGTGAAGAAAAAGTTTCATTAATCTAGTCATTTTATATTTATAATTGGCAAATCAACCAATTTTCTTGAGATATAAAATAAACATGAATTAATTGAACATTAAAAATATAATTTATTGTAAAATAAAGTATTTGGCTTAGGTGGACACCTTAAACGGAGAGAGAACTCCCTAATTATATATATAATTTCAATGGTTGTTAAACTGTTTAAACAAAAAAACAAAATTATAGTTTTTAAATAAAAAAAATTCAGAAC